ATGAAAACAAAGACCACCACAGCCAACCACAAATGAACAGCCACACCCTAGGCCAACCCCAACCCCTCTCACCACCAAATGAACACAAGTGAACAGCAGAGAATCTGCACAAGCAACGCTGACACCAAACCCCAAATATATTAAGCAAAATGGAAACATCTCTACCCGACCCCACCCCACCTATCTTTCCCCACCTCCACCTCTTTCCCCCCCCCTTTTCTTCCTAATGTCTCAACAAATGAAACTGATTTGTAAAAATGTTACATGGAAAAAATACGAGAGAGACGTTGCACATACTTTTGTAAATCAAGAAAATCTTTAATAAAAATACATTTTTTAAAAAAGGAAGAGAATAATAATATAATAATAATAAATTTTATTTATATCCCGCCCTCCCCAGCCGAAACCGGTCTCAGGGCGGCTAACAACAATAAAATAGTACAAAATTCTAAAATCATTCATTATAAAATTAATTCAAATCAAATTGATGGCAACCATTGGGCTAGAGATTCTGTGAAGATTGCCAAAGGAGGGAGTCAGGCTGTGCCCTGACCAAAGGCCTGGTGGAACAGCTCTGTCTTGCAGGCCCTGCGGAAAGATGTCAAGTCCCGCAGGGCCCTAGTCTCTTGTGACAGAGAGTTCCACCAGATCAGAGCCACAGCCGAAAAAGCCCTGGTTCTGGTTGAGGCCAGCCTAACCTCCCTGTGGCCCGGGGCCTCCAAGATGTTTTTGTTTGCAGTTACTTTAAGGTCCTCTGTGGGACATACCAGGAGAGGCGGTCCCGTAGGTACGAGGGTCATAGGCTGTATAGGGCTTTAAAGGTTAAAACCAGCACCTTAAACCTGATCCTGTACTCCACCGGGAGCCAGTGCAGCTGGTATAGCACCGGATGAATGTGATCTCGCAGTGAGGACCCCATAAGGAGTCTCGCTGCGGCATTCTGAACCCGCTGGAGAGAAGCATGTGCACCATCTTGATCTCCTTGGGGTATAAATGTGATGAATTAATAAAATAATAAATAAATGCTCAGGACAATGATGTTGTCCTGAACCCCCGGCCTACCTGGCCGCAAGTCGCTAAGTCGAATCCCCGGTCCAGGTTCGAGGCACGGTTCTAAAGTCCAGTCCCACAGAGATCCTGGAGCCCCCAAGCTGAGGTCCATCAATATGGGCATTTGAGCAGACACAGTCCCTCAGCTCTGCTTCCCTGTTGCGCTTTGCATGCTGATTGCAGCATCTGGGCCCGATGAGGCAGGTGACCCTCACCTGTTCCAAGCCACCTCCCAGAGTTAGCGAGCCCCACCTGGCCAGCTAGGGGGCAGGGCTGTGGGCCCTTGCCTGCCTCAGCCTCCTAGAACACCCTGCCTGCTTCTCCCTACACCTCAGAGCCCGCAATGTTCGTGGAAGAAGAAGAAGAAGAAGAAGAAGAAGAAGAAGAAGAAGAAGAAGAGTAGTTTGGATTTGATATCCCGTTTTATCACTGCCCTAAGGAGTCTCAAAGCGGCTAACGTTCTCCTTTCCCTTCCTCCCTCACACACTGTGAGGTGAGTGAGGCTGAGAGACTTCAAAGAAGTGTGACTAGCCCAAGGTCACCCAGCAGCTGCATGTGGAGGAGCGGAGACGCGAACCCGGTTCACCAGATTACGAGTCCACTGCTCTTGACCACTACACCACACTGGCCCCTGGAGACAGGGGACCCTCTGGCTCCTGCTGCTCTGCTTCCTGTGCACTGAACCCCCATCCCCTCATCATCCTCCATCAATCTGTGAGTACGTTCTACACCAACTTCTACTTCCCCATCCCCTGCTTGCCCCAGTGCGTCCCAGTCCCGGTGACACCCCTCACTGGGATCCTCTTCCTCCTTTTTCTTCTCCCCGTTATTCTGCCAGTTCGTGACAGATGTCTTTCTACAATTCACGAGAAATAAAGCAATTGACACGAAATTAAAAAGAACAGCTCGTAACTCTATACACAAATTAGAGGAGAGAGGGCAACATTTTATTAGCCTTGAGTGGGTGGATAGATCTAACTTTCCCCTCGTTTTTCTGTCAGAAAAAAAAAGTCTCCACAATGCATAAACATAAAGGGGGCTCTTTCGATTGGAGCCAGAAACGCTTTGCCCTTCCAACGTAATAGCTGGCAAAAGAACCTGTCAACACCATAATATTCCACTGCTTTTTTCTTTTTGCACACATGCGAGTGTGCACTTGCATGGTTCTAGAATAAATACGCTGGCTGTTCTGTCACAGATTACTAGACTTCTGCGCCTGATGATTTTTCAGGCTCAGTTTTGATATTTTTGTCCTCGATGTATCAAACGGCGCAAAGGTAATTTTCTGCCATGAATTATTCATATTCTGTGCTTTTGTGACATTTGATATATTCTAAAATATTTAGAGAGCCATTTAATTCACTAATGATAAGGGAACTGATTCTAAAAAATGATAAGCTCCCTCAGAGGCCAGAATAAATAGCTGGTACCAAGGCCTGTTTCTTTGCCTCCTTTTGTTGTTGTTTGAGCAATAAGCTCAAAATGATAGGGATTCCGTTCTGTTATCGACTGTGGGATTCAGAATATGTAAAAGCTTTGCCCTGAAATGATCATCATTTCTTCCCTCACGAAGTCTGTTGAGATGACAAGACAATATCTGTAAACGTTTGTGCTAACGGTGAAACTGTTACGTCACTGCTTTACGTGTTTTTAGAAGCTCCTTAATGTTTATTAGCGTGTTTTTTTAAATTTAATTTTCTATTGTATTGCATTAGCACTATGGCATTTGCCACCCTGAGCTATCTTGGGAAGAAGAATTAGGTGGAAATTGAAGGAAAGGAATGTATCAACAAATAACTGTATGAAAAGATTGCCTGCCATCACTGCAGATTATTAAAAATGAGTCCTATTCTGAAGATTGCTTCACCTTTTGTGGGTGATTTACAGCAGGAGTTCCAAAATCGCTCGCCACAGGGACCAACAAAAGGAAAAGGAATTTTTTGTCCTTGTTTTGGATCCCCTCGTCAATTTCAACCATGGACCTGAATGTGGGAATCCTTAAATGTTACAAGACCAAAACCCCATCTAGTTCTGTTCTCGCAATGGCCAACCAGCTGCGCACAGGACGCCCACCAATAAGACAACTGCGCAACGGTGCTCCTCTACTTGCATTCCGCAGGAGCCTCTGACATGGGAGGTAAAGGTAAAGGGACCCCTGACCATTAGGTCTAGTCGTGACCAGTGGCGTAGCGTGGGTTGTCAGCACCTGGGGCAAGGCAAGTAATTTGCGCCCCCTAACCCGTGGATTTGCGCCCCCTAACCCTAACCCCCAGATGTTGCGCCCGGTGCGGCCGGCCCCCCCTGCACCCCCCACGCTACGCCACTGGTCGTGACCGACTCTAGGGTTGCGGCGCTCATCTCGCTTTATTGGCTGAGGGAGCCAGCGTACAGCTTCCGGGTCATGTGGCCAGCATGACTAAGCCGCTTCTGGTGAACCAGAGCAGTGCACGGAAACACCGTTTACCTTCCCGCCGGAGCGGTACCTATTTATCTACTTGCACTTTGACGGGCTTTCGAACTGCTAGGTTGGCAGGAGCAGGGACCGAGCAACAGGAGCTCACCCCGTCACAGGGATTCGAACCGCCGACCTTCTGATCGGCAAGTCCTAGGCTCTGTGGTTTAACCCACAGCGCCACCTGCATCCTGACATGGGAGTTACTGACCCTCCAAGTGTCCCTATTTTCCAGGGATGGTCTCAGATTTACAGGAGCTGCTCCGGTTTCTGATTTGATCCTCGGATGTCCTGCTTTCTCTTAGGACGTCCCTGTTTTCATCGGAGAAATTTTGGAGCGTATGGAGTTATGGGACCCCTGAGCCCAGGAGAGAAGTAACTGTAGAACCTTTAGAAGGACCACCTCTTCCCATATGAACCTACCCAGACCATGAGATCAGCTTCAGAGGCCCTCCTTCGTGTGCCTCCTCCTTGAGAGGTCCAGAGGGTGGCAACATGAGAATGGGCCTTCTCTGCAGTGGCTCCCTGTCTGTGGAATGCTCTCTCCAAGGAAGTTTGCCTGGCGCCTTCATTATACACCTTTAGGCGCCAGGCAAAAATGTTCCTTTTTAACTAGGCCTTTGGTTGACCTGATTGACATCCTGCAACATTTAAAATGTGGCTTTTTTTGGGGGGGGGGGTTATTGGGTTACTTATTTTTATTTTATACATTGTATCATTTCTCTGAACTGCCCTGAATCCTCCGAGTATAAGGCGGTATATAAATTCAATATAATAAAATGACTATGCAAAGCAGTAGAAGTATGAGATGATCAGAACCCTCTGAACTTGAAGCATGAGAACTCCTATTAAAAATTTATAATTTGGCCGAATATTCAGACTATTTGTTATGTATATGTATAATTTGGAATATTTAATGTGATTGGATTGGATTGTTAAAGTGGAAAACTTAATAAAAATGATTTTTTTTAAAAAAAATCAATATAATATTAATAATAATAAAGACATCTGAAGGCAGCCCTGTATAGGAAATGGTTTTTTTTAATGTTTAACTTTTTGTTATGTTTTTATGTATGTTGCAAGCTGCCCAGAGTGGCTAGGACAACCCAGTCAAATAGGCACGGTATTATTATTAATTATTATTATTATTACTGGCATCCCTATTTTGATCAGAGACATTTTGGAGGATTCAGAAGTATAATCCCGATGACTTGTTGCTGTTAATTGTCTTATCCTCCATTTATTTGTATTTGCTTGAGTTGGCAAGCATCAGGTAGTCTATCTTTAAGGCTTCTGTGATTTCCTGGCGACTGTCACTCCTCTACAGTGGTACCTCGGGTTACATACGCTTCAGGTTACATACGCTTCAGGTTACAGACTCCGCTAACCCACAAATAGTGCTTCAGGTTAAGAACTTTGCTTCAGGATGAGAACAGAAATTGTGCTCCGGCGGCGTGGCAGCAGCAGGAGGTGTTTCAGATGTGCTGTACCTTTGGCCCTCCAGACATTGCTGAACTACAATTCCCACAATCCCTTGCATTGGCCGTGGTGGCTGAGGCTAACAAGAGTTGCATTTCAGCAATATCTGGAGGACCAAAGGTTCCCACGCCTGAGCTACTTCCTACAACACTGGGCCTCTCCCCCCCACTTTCTGTGCCCATCAAACCCACTAAATGCCAAGTGCAATTTTGAAATACAGTGGTACCTCGGGTTAAGTACTTAATTCGTTCTGCAGGTCCGGTCTTAATCTGAAACTGTTCTTAACCTGAAGCACCACTTTAGCTAATGGGGCCTCCCGCTGCTGCCGCGCCACCAGAGCACGAGTTCTGTTCTCATCCTGAAGCAAAGTTCTTAACCTGAAGCACTATTTCTGGGTTAGTGGAGTCTATAACCTGAAGCGTATGTAACCTGAAGCGTATGCAACCCGAAGTACCACTGTACTTAAAAGCCAGTGCCCATGCACTTTCGGTGCAACAAATCAACAGGACTCAGGATAGAACACTGCAGACATAAGCAGGCTTGAGTCTCAATGGACAAAGGAACCTGTTTAGTACTGATTACAGCAGTGTGTACTCCCATCTACTCTCACCTATACAGACAAGCAACTGCCTTCACCCCTGTGAGAGGAAATGGGAAGTGTTACACTAGACAACACTATTATGGCGAAAGGCATTTTTTTTTCTTTCCAACACGGTGACACACGACACATGCACCCTACTCGCTTCCCGTTCCCTACACACACGTCCCATAAGGGCAGACGAAATATTGCCAGGGCTCATGTACCGTATTTTTCCGTGTATAAGACGCCCCCATGTATAAGACGCCCCCTATTTTTGGGGACTCCAAATTAAGAAAATACCCCTCAGCACTACCTGTGTATAAGACGAGTCCCAATTTTAAACCTAATTTTTGGTAAAAAACAACAAACCTAGTCTTATACACAGAAAAATACGGTAATTGTCATGCAGTCAATGCAAAGCAAGGGCAGACTTTGTACCCTCCTCCGACATTTCTCTGATTAAAATAGGGATGTCCAATTCCATCATCATCATCTTCATCCTTTTATTATTTATACCCTGCCCATCTGACTGGGTTGCCCCAGCCACTCTGGGCAGCTTCCAACATATATAATAAAACATTTAAAAACTTCCCTAGACAGGGCTGCCTTCAGATGTCTTCTAAAGGTTGCATAGTTATTTATCTCTTTGGCTTGGGGGTCCCATAACTCCATACCCTCCAACATTTCCCCAAGGAAAATAGGAAAAGCGGGACATTCCGGGATCAAACCAGAAAAACCGGGATGGCTTCTGTAAATCCGAGGCTGTCCCTGGAAAATAGGGACACTTGGAGGTTCTGCTCTTTCAAATTTCAGTGGTGCCCTGTGCGACGCCACATCTGGAGCCCCTTGCCTTCAGTTTCCTACTTCATAGTTGTGACACCCTGTGGTAGCCTTAAGGCTTGGCGCCTGGTGCCCGGTGTGTGTGTGTGTGTGTGTGTGTGTGTGTATGAACAACCACACTGCCCTAAACCCACCTCTGTGCAGAGAGATCACTTTGGCCAGCATTTCCAACACTTTTGCCTAATAAACATCACCTTCCAGTAATAAGTTCACCCAATTGCACATGAACGTTCCAGCCTGGAATTTAAAATCAAGGAACCCATCAACCTACCTTGCAGTCGAGCTCTCCTTGACATTACATAGGTCTCTTCTGCAGTCACGGGGGAATCCCCTGTGCCTTATGCTCTGGTGTTTGCAAAGAATTGAGATGTCTAGCAGATGCAAGCTCATAAGAAGTGCACCTGAAACGTAACAGGATACTGGCCTGGCGGATAAAATATTCATGCTGATTGTCGTCAATCAATTGCTGGTGTTTTTAGCGTTGGCTGTAAGCTTCCCTGGCTGCACTGTGCGCAGTACATTTTGTTTGTAGTGGTTGGGAATGAGCTGGCCATGAATCTTCATATTCATAAAACTTGAGCTGCGCCTCCAAAAGGTGCTCAATCAGATTTTTAAAATATTAAGTAAAGACAATGGGTGAAATCACTAGACTCAGTCTGCCAGTGTAACAGAAACCACCTACAAGGGCACACCAATAATCTTCTTTGGAGGATAGGGAAAATCCCAGAGAAGATTTGGGGAGCATGAGACTACAGGAGTGAGAAGAAGAAGAAGAAGAAGAAGAAGAAGAAGAAGAAGAAGAAGAAGAGTTTGGATTTGATATCCTGCCTTTCACTCCCTTTAAGGAGTCTCAAAGCAGCTAACATTCTCCTTTCCCTTCCTCCCCCACAACAAACACTCTGTGAGGTGAGTGGGGCTGAGAGACTTCAGAGAAGTGTGACTGGCCCAAGGTCACCCAGCAGCTGCATGTGGAGGAGCGGGGAAGCGAACTTGGTTCACCAGATTACGAGACTACCGCTCTTAACCACTACACCACACTGGCCCAGAGCCCTTGCCTTCTCCGTAGATCTGTCTAGCCCTCTTTCAAAGCCACTGCTGGGCGCTGCAGCCCCAAAGTGTGCGAGAATCTTCTCCACCGCTCTTAACCACTACACCACACTGGAAGGGGGGGTATCCTATTAGGCGTGTGTGTGTGTGTGTATCTATATCTACCATATTTACACAAGTATAATGCACCATCAAATCTAACGCACACCTCAATTTTCAAAACCTTGAAACCAAACAAGTATTTGCCGGCACCATCAAATCTAATGCGCACCCTAATTTTTGCGACGAAATTTGGCCAAAGAAAGCTGTGCATTACATTCACATAAATATGGTATATCCGTATCTCAATCAAAACTGGACAACAGCAAAAACCAACAAAGCGAGCAGTAATCGTCATTGCCAGTAAAACCATCAGCGGCAATATTCAGGCTGCAAACTGCAAGTGATTATACAATGAATTTGAGAGCTTCTCTTCAAAAGTGCTGTCTTTCTCTGGGACCTAAAGAGCCACAGGGATGAAGCAAGATTAGCTTCCCCCACAGGAAGGGAGTTCTGCTAATTTGGTGCCACCGTGGAAAAGGCCATGCTCCCCAGTGAGTACTGAGCATACACTGACTTGAGCCTCAGGGATGATCTTAATATGCACTTGGTGTTTCTTTTTCGGCCAATAATTATTGTTCATATTAACTTTGACTTGGATAAATCATTGATATATGTGTGCAAACGTTCATATATTCTTAAATTCTATCCCTGCGGTTTGGGGACTAACTGATGGACGACAAAAATGCATCCTGCGAACACTTATGGCGGGCAAGAGATTTACGCTGAAAGGCTAGAAGGGTAAAAACCCACCAGACCAACAGCCACCACCCACTATGCTGTAGTATGGAGATCACATTGACCTTTCTAAGTTAGAACACATGGCCATCAACCTCGTTTATATACCTATTTCACATATGGACTCACTATATGAAATCTATATGTTTAAATGGAAATTGATGGAATATTTTTATGATTAATGTCAGCTGTTTTAATTTTTTTAAAAAATTGCAAATAATTTTGAACTAAACAAGAAAATGAGAACAACGTGAATTTAATTTCTCTCCCCCTCCCCCGTTCCTTTTAAACTGAAATTACAAAAGGGGGGCGGGTGAGGAAAATCACAATTAACTATGTTTTATCAGCTGCAGTCCCCTTACACAAAGGCCAAGAGAACGTTCAGAAGAAAGGATACAGTTTCAGAAGGAAGGATACAGTTTTTAAATGCAAATCTGAGTTTAAAAATAAATAACACTAAGGCAAGAGCTGATCTTAATGAGTAAGACTGTTCCAGGATAATGGCGAGAGATGGGAAAGGAGCCACTGCTATTCAGTAATATTCCCGACAGCGTTTTGCTCAGCTGCAAAAGTCCAGTCAAAGAGCCTGGGACATCCGCCAGCCGATCACCGAGTGCAATCTCAATCTGTTAAAATCCATGGGAGCTTTGATATTTTTAATGCGACGTAGCACATGTACACTGAGGGAGACAGGAGCTGATGAGCAGGGACAAAAGTCAATTAAGTTGGTTTCTTTATTTGTAAGGTCGTAATCAGACAGGCCTTTTGAGGAATGAGGAGATAAACATTGCACAAATTCTTCAGCCTTCCCTTTGCTTTGTACCGTGTTATGTCTCAGACGAACGGAACAGCCACTGAGCAGTCTCAAAGCTTATATACACATCTATATTAAGGCAAGCGCTCGTTGGACCCTTGCTGCTCTGTTATATGGCGTTGATTGCTGGTTCATTTCCCAGCTGCTTCTGCAGCTGGAACTCTTCTTCTGCCAGTATCTTGGCTTTCACAAAATTTCCTTTTGCCATGCTCCTGCTGTCTTGCAGGGATGGTGCTGATTGCTGGTGCTGGCTTGCAGGAGATTCCCAATCTCACTGGAGCTAAGACAAGGCGGAACAGCCTCCCTCCTGGCTCGCCTTGCTTGCAGTCAGAACAAATTCCCGCAGCTCAGCTCCCTCCAGCGCGGTCTGCCAACCTTTGTTCTCAAAGCGGGGAGTGTATTTTTTCCCCTTGTGCTAAAAATGCAGACTTTGGCATTCAGAAGAAACTTTGTTTCAATATCCCTCCCCCTCCAAATAAATAAATAAATATAAAGGCCCCCCCAAGAAGAACACTCAGCCGCATTTGATGGACCTGCATCTCTGTTGTGCCATGCAGTCAGAAGACTTGGAATTAAAAGAATAAATGAAAACCCCTAGAAAGCTCGTCAACAATCCAATTATCCGAATGTTTATTTTTTTGAATCTCCTAAGTATTCTACTCATTAAGTGCCATGGCTGTTGCGTACCTCTACAAAAATAGCACTTGTATTTATGAGCTCTGCTCATCAAGATTTTTCAGCAGTCTTAAAGGCAATTTTGAAATTTAATTCTAGGAGACAGGAGTCTCCCATCACTAGGCTCACTGGTCTCTAGCAGATCCTGAAACTACGTCAGGGGATAAACTGAGCAGATTGCAATTGCTACAAATTTTGCAAATGTCATTCGAATCATTTTACCTCCCAGCATGAGACTGAAGCCATTTCATAAAGAACCCAGATTAACTTTTAAAATATCAGTCAGCTAAAATTGTATAGTTAAAAACAACAACAAAAT